TCTTTGTTCCAATCACTTATTAAAAAGCCACAGGTTTTACTTCTCTTTTTCTACTGGCTAAAAGTAAAAGCAAAAACACTGTCAAACGGACCCATAGTCTATCCGATTCAACAAACAATTTCTTAAATTGTTTACTTCGAGCTTAATTTAAATGATAAGAAAAAGGGATTCTTGTATGCATGCATATGATAAATGTAAAGCTTAATTGCTATTCCCACTTGTTGATTAGGAGATGATCTATGTGAGCAAAGTCTTCTTCATGTAGCTAACGTACAAATAATTATAAATGTCGGAAATTAATTTTCGTTAGGAAATTAACGATGACTATGATATATACATGACATGATGCCTACGTGATTTTTTTATTCTACTAACCGAAAGTTTGGCAGAAAGGGAAAGTGTATATAATATTTTCGTCTAAGATTATTTTTTTCAAAAAAAAAAAATTATAATAATGTAAACAAACCCATCCAAAGAATTCAATAGGTGTATCAAAGAATTTCTTAACCTTTGTTGCGTCATATATATAGTAGACCCTTTCTCCAATATCCTAACTTTAATTATTTATTTGTGTTTTGCTTTGTGGGTTGACTTTGAAATTTCAATTCACTTACGTTTCCACTTTCAATTTCATGCATTCCTCTGAAAGCAATTCGATTGGTATATACAATGTTAGCCATGATATCATGTACGTTCACATTCTTTTTTATGAGTTTCATTCGTTTTGTGAGTGTAGAGAGAGAGAGAGAGAGAGAAAATACCACGTAGGCAAATGAAATCGTGCTTGAAGATGATTAATGATTATAGGGTAGAGTTCAAACAGAAAAACTACTAACGTGTATTGAGTACCAACACTTGGCAGTTGGCATAACCTTTTAATAAGAAATCTAGGGCGTTTTCTCAAAAGGACATGAAAACTAATAATAAATTGGTCCATTATCTTCCTATAAGGTCTTTGAGCTGAATGGTATCAAAATTTCTTCCGAGAAGTGTTTTCAATTGATTAAAGGCTCGTTTAGTTCGTTAATTTAAATTTTTAATTTAAGTTGATATGCGACTTTATGTGAGAATTTTTTACTGCAACAAAAAAGTTAAATATGATTATTTCTGAGAGTTTTTTACTGTAGCATAACTCGAATTGGTCTATATGTATATAGTACAATGCATGTTAGTTTACGAGAGAAATACAAAAATAGCATTTATAAGATGTCATCTCATATCATAAATTTAGCATCTATGCTGTTTAATTTATTAAACAATATCATATTTAATATCGTATCAGATTATTTTTCTTCTTTAATAAAACGATCGGATATTTCTTACTCTAAATTTTGGAAAGTATTATGATAGAATATCAAATTAATCAACAAAAATAATAAGAGACTAGATAATATAAATGTTATAAGATTATTAGATTTTAGTGTCATAATACATACTTTCTCTTTAGTGTTTAAACCCTAATTCGATTATAGGTACATAGTTTGCCTCATTGGCTCATTCTCAATAACAGGGCTCTGAAACTTCAAAAAATAAAAATAAAAATAAAAATAAAACTCTCCGATAATTTTGAAGTTAATCAATGGGCTCAATTGCATAAACGCCTGAAGACATACGTCATACACCAATTAATACAAAGATGTCAACCTTGCGAGAGAGAACTATTTTTTTTTTTGTTCACACAATAAGCTGCATTAATTCAAACAATATGACCCTGCCACCCACCAGCCTTGACTTTCAACCTGCAATATTTACCGTATTAACAATTTCATCCCTGATTAGTATACTACTTTTAATGAAGGCCGAAAAAATATTGTTTTTGGATAATCCTATACACTAGAGCTATAGCTATCTTTATAAGGCTCTCAACAAAACAAATGAATTGGATGATGAGTTGATTAAAAGTAAAGTTACAAATGAGTCAGAATTTTATAGTACATTATAATACTAATTAGTATAGCCCATAATCAGCGGCAGAATTAGTATTTTACTACTGTAGTAGAAGCGGATATATATATATATATATTTTTTTAAAACATAAATAACATAAAAAGATATACAATAAATTATACTAAAAATAATTTTCAAGAACTATTAAGTACATATTGTGAATTTTATTATATGAAAAAATACGTTATTGTAAGATTTTGTGTTGAAACTTTAGATTTTTTTTAATATATAAAAAGGTGTTATGTATACCTCTTTTATTTTGATGAAATTTTGATCAATTTAGCGTTTAGAATTGTGCATTACCAATAAGAATACTCTACCATAGATTTATTTATTTTTTTTCATTTCAATATCTTGCATTTCGAGGAGATAAAAAAACCATACCTTATATTTTATATTTGTCACATTTATAGCTTTTGATTTCAAAATTATGCTCCATTCTTATATTTTCTTGACCCCAGGTCAATTCAACTACAAATCAGATCATAATTAACGTCGTCAATAATATAAAAGAATTAGGAAAAAGAATTGTAAAATGTTTAGAATACTCAGGTCTTTTTCATAGTCAAAATCAAGTTCAGACAAAAAAATGTAAATTCAACATAAAAATAATATAAATGTGATGCAGTAAAAAATATAAGATATCATAAAAGACATTACAATTACAGAATTGCTCGTGAGTAAAATGAGTAAACTTATTTATAAATGAAATTTAGGAATAAAATATTGGAATATAAAATTTTAGTGGAGATAAAATAAAAAGTTAAAATTTTTTAAAGGGTCGAATTTTTATTTTTGAAACCCCCACCAGGCGCCATGTGTCTCTGCCCCTGCCCATAATATGATCTACGTTGCTCAAAGCGACCAAAGGGAAATGGGCACATCTTTTTTTCTTTTATTTATGTGGCACTTCAAAATAAAATAATTAGTAAATAAGTCTATTGAAATCTAATAAATATTTGATGACGTAATTAATATTAGTTTACTACTAATAAAATATGTTTTGGCTTGTTGCTAAGCAAATTGTATCAATGTGTTCTTTTGTTTGTATACGGACTTTTAATCTACAAGGGAGATCGTAATGGTAGAAATTGCGGCAATTGGAGAAGAGGGCCGGTTTAGAAACGCGGCGAATCGGTGAAAAGGAGAGGTCGGACCGGTAGAGGTGGAGCAGCCAGAGAGAGCTGGAAGTTTATTTATTTATTTACTTATTGTGATTTTTTCTAGTAAATCACTTTAACAGTAATGTTAATTTTAACTGTTAAATCTGATTAAAATATATATAAAATCGTCAATTTTATTATAAATTAAACATTTAAATAATAAAAAACTCTCAATAGTTCATTTTTATAGTTAAGGAGTTTTTTTTTTTAAGTATAATATTGTTGCTGACTTTTTTTTTTTTTTTTTTTTTTTTGCTTGACAGTGTAGCAGTGGGTTAACTATGAGAAAAGACGGAGTAAAAACCCAACGGAGGGGGCAAATGGTATTAGGCGTGTAGGGCCCAGGGTGGGGCCAGGAGGTGGGCCATGGCGGGGGTAATGAGTCATCTCTCTCTCCCTAAATTCCGAGCTTCCCATCTGATTGCGACTGATTTGACATGTTGCTTTTGTTTTCTTTCTCCTATCCTCGTTGTCACTCCATCTCTTCTCTCTCTCTTTCTTTACTAATTTACCCCTATTCTACTTTTTATTTTTATTTTTTCAATTTTTTCGTCATTTATTATGAACCTACAAATGTCATATAAGTTATAAGTTTGAAGCACGTTTGGCAAGAGATTCGTATAATAATTTAAATTATAATTTATAATTTATTATAATATTTTTTTTATAAAAAATATATTCATAAATTAAAAATAATTTTAATTTTATAATTTTAATTTATGAATTAAACGTCTTTTTAAAATGTATTTAAAGAATAGATTCAAACCACTTTAATTAGATTCAAATAATGTTTTCTTTATTAAAAATTTTAAATTTAGAAAGTTTTATTACTATTTATTCTTATAAAATTTAAATTCGGTTTCAAACCACATAGTTACAACTCACTTTCTAAACGGACATTTGGTCTTTAGGAGGTTATTTTACAATTGAAAAATGATAAATTCTTATAATCACTAATTCTTTCTAAATCACACTAGTCTAAAAATTAACACATGAATATGTGATTAGTTAAACCTTTGATAGTTAATAAAATAACATTTCAACAGTGATAATAGTCTACCACTACCGGACTTTATAATAAGGTGTAGAGTTAAAATACTCTATTTCAAGTTCAACACAAAAAAAAAAAAAAAAAAAAAGTGATGGTCTAAAAAAAAAAAAAAAAAAAAAACTTATATCATA